GGTAAACTTTAAAGATTACATAAAGTTCACAAATCTTAGGTGTACAGCTCAGTGAATTTGTACAAGTGTTCGCACCTGTATAATCATTACCCAGATCAAGATATAGTAAGTCAGTCCCTCCAAAATCCTCCTCATGCCCTTTTCCCAGTCACTACCTCCCAGATTAGCTTTGCCTGTTTTGAACTTTATACAACATATGTTCTTTTTTATCTGGCTTCTTTAACTCTTGAGATACAGCCATGTTGTTACTTGTAACAATAGTTGTTTTTGAAATGCTGCATAGTATTTCATTGTATAAGTATACCACAAGTTACATAACCCTTTTAGTATTAATAGGCATTTGGATTATATCCAGTTTTAGAAACCAGCTCTGAACATTCTTGCACTGTCTTCTGGTGTACATGCGTTTGCATTTTTGTTGGATCTATACCAATTGTGGAATTGTTTAGTGATAGAGTTAAGAGTAGACAACTACGGACAGTCTTCCACAGTGGTTGTACCCAGTTTATGCTCTAGTAGCATTGTGCGTGAGAATTTAAAAACCCATACATTTTAATTAACAACTTTCTATAAAACTTAAGTCCAACTCTGAGGGTGTTATCATATTTAGATTACTCTGTATTAGAGGAAATAAATCACACTAATGCCTTAATTTCTGTTTTTAGATATGGCTCGTGGACAGCAGAAGATTCAGTCTCAGCAGAAAAATGCCAAAAAGCAAGCTGGACAAAAGAAGAAACAAGGACATGACCAAAAGGCTGCTGCCAAAGCTGCCTTAATATATACCTGCACTGTTTGTAGGGTAAGGGAAACTGAAGGATGTGGGTTTCCCATGAACAATTCTTGCATTAGAGATCGGTTTGTATAGATTAAATTTTTGCAGTCGTGGCAAAATAAATGTTTTACTTGAAATAGGAGAATTGAGATCTGGTTATTTTAGAAGTACATATGTATATTTAGAAATCTTTATTTATGATCTCCTCGAATCATCTTTATTCATCCATTCAACAAATGTTTTATTGAATAACTCCTGTGGCCAGGCACGATTTTCTGGATGTTGGAGAAAAGTGAACAAAGCAAAATTCCTTTCCTCGTGGAGAATAGAATAAAGATGTCTTCTTAAGGGAAAACAGTACACTTTGAACTTTGTAAAGAAGTCAGATCTACATTCTTAGTTTAGAGCTATGTAAGATACTAGTGAATAAGCCTCTGGTTATATAATTGGTGCTTTTTTTTTTTTTTCTTTCACTAAATCCGTAGTTAGGATGCATGCACAGAATTTATTCACATTGCGGAGTTTTACTAGAGTCAATATGTTTTATTAGATTTGAAGACTTGTCATAACAGCTGCTGTTGAGTGCTTACAATGTGCCAGGCACTGCTCCAGGTGTTTTACATGTAGGAGCCCATTAATCTGCACAATAACCCAATGACATAAAGTACTTTTATGTTCATTTTACAGAAGAATAAATTGAGTCGTGGGGATTAAATAACTTGTTTAGGGTCACCCGACGAGTGCCTAAAAGGGCTGGGGTCTGAACCCAGGAAGTCCAACTCCAGAGCCCACCCTCTGGCTCACTCTGCCACAGAAAAGTTTCCTTGAGTTCCAGAGTCTCTTTCTTGCCTGTTTAAGCTTACCACCCTTGAAGTTAGTGCGTAGATATACCAAAGGAAACATACACATAGGTTGGTCCAGTTCATTTTTTTTTTTCTGAAGCCCTGTACCTGAGTGGGATTGCTGTGGATAGGAAGGGATCTTGATAAGACATAATTCCTGGATTAATTATCCATTGAAGTCATTAGTAATAGAATAGAAGTTCCTAACTATGTAAAAGTTCTCATTAAGAGAGAGGGAATCTATTACTCATATTGTGCTTTGATGCATGCAAAAGAATAAAATGGAGCAGCTTCAGATTCTGTTTGGAGAGAAGCAGGGTAAAGTAAAATTCACTAAATTTAGCTATGAAGAAGTGCTTTGACCTAAAAGTACTAGAGTAGTTTACATATTTAAAAACTCAAACCGACAAAATACTTTTATGTTTTGTCTAATCATGCTAGAGAATAAATGAAAATCCTTTCCTAGGGAAGTCAGCGTAGTGTATTTGAGAGCTGCAATACCTAGTACTAGGTTAAAGCATATATCTTGGGCAAATTAAGCTCTAGGGTTTAGTTTCCTTACGTAATTTGAAGATAGGAACTCATTTAGATTACTATGAAGGTTCTGTAAGAATTCAGGTAACATGTTTAACATACATAATAAGAGTTCAGTTCATGCTACCTATTTGCTGTAATCAAGTAATCAGAATACTTCATCCCCTGTGATCCACCCCTTCATATGTGAAAAGTGGGAATCTTAGGAATATCTTAATTATCCTTTTTCATATGCCAACCCTAGTTGTAGGAATTTAAAAGTGTTTTGTAATTGTCTATCATAAGCAGGCTCAGGATTTGAAAAGTTTACACATTTTTATTTCATGAATAAGGTTTAACTTTTCATACAATTTTTTAAATTAGACACAAATGCCAGACCCTAAGACCTTCAAGCAGCACTTTGAGAGCAAGCATCCTAAGACTCCGCTTCCTCCAGAATTGGCTGATGTTCAGGCATAAAGTTGTTTACAGGTAATTGACCGTTTTTCTCTTTGTTAATGTTAGAGTTGTATACAAAAGCAAAATTGTCTTCTGTAATTGTGAAATTGATTTCTACCTTTTAGCTGAGACTATTGCTTCACCTTTTTAAGTTGTTTACCTTTGCAATGGTTTGAAGTCCATTTTCCCAGACTGTATCCTTCCAAAGCCTTTAAAACACCCAAGTTCTTACGACTATAGCCAAAAATGTTGGGATGGGGCAGGGAGATGCTAGCTAACTCGTCCAAAAATGGAAGAGACTTAGCTACCTAAAGAAAATAACTATTACAAAGGAGTCGAGGATCTTGCTCCCAGAAATGATGCTTCTAACTGGATTAAAATATAGGGCAAAACGTAGGTATACTGTATAAACCTGCAGTTGCTTGAAAATCAGTTTACATTTTCTGTGTGGTTGGGTCCCCCCCCCACACACAACCAAATGGTTTTGATGATGCTGGTGGTGTGTGTATGTGTGAGAATTATTTCTTGTTAAAGTAAATTACTTAAAGTTCTTTTGTTTATAAAACTCTGTTTGCAAATTGATCAGATTAACTTGATAGCTTAGGTATATTGTGCTTTCTTTTTTAGACATTTAAAATGTACATAAGTTACATTTGTGCAATGTTTACATTCACTGAAAATTTTTCTTATGTTTTGTAGGTGAATTCATGACACCTTTGACTCTTCTACTGTCTCAGACCTTAGGTAACAAACCTGCAGCTGCTTTTCTAACAAACTGTTGATCAGCAAAAATAAAGGGGCTACAGAAACACTCATTTTTATGCTGTTCCCTTTTGGGCTTCATGCAAAGACAATTCTGTGTAAATGTACAGTTGACTCTGATTTGGAAATCTGAAAACCAGTCCATCCTTGTTATAAAAAATTTTTTTACAATTGTAATTATATTGATGTTCATATTGTGTAAAAAAAAAACTCATTTAATAAAGTAGTACTTTGATTTTACAACATCACAGGATAAATGGTTCTAGAAATTCTGTTCTCATTTTCCACATCATTTGCCTTATAAAAATCTAATGAATTCATCAGTTAGAATTGCAAGTGCAATTTTTATCTCCCTTTCTCAACTCAGTAGCAGGTTAGTTAGTTAAACCAGAGCAGTCTCATTCATTAAATTTGTGTACACAATTTAATAGGCAGCTGCTGATCTAGGTGAAGAATGACTTACCTGCTGCCTTAGTATATTGCGATCATGTGTCTTTCCCCCTCCCTGATTGTTTCCTGTGTTTGAGATTGGAATATTTCAACTTGCCATATGACCTGGCTATGGCTGCCAGCCAAATATACCCTGTAGATAAGTGATAAATTCCTAAAGCAGTTGGATTGTTAGCCCTTCTGAAAAATTAGGTTCTGAAATGTATGCCATAATGAAATAATTAGTAAGCCTATCATTTATTACAAAATACAATAGAATGTATGTGAACTGGTAAAGATCTATCTTTTATAAATTATGCTGGAGTCTTTGAAAATTCTTCAAATTCTTTAATTTGAAATTGAAACTCATAATTTTGAAGGCATTTTGGAAGTTATTAACAATTTGACGAATTCTAGAATGGATTTTGCATTAACAAGAAGATTGGAATTATTTGTGGCTGGGTCATTTCCCAGAACCTTCTCTCTGCTTTCCTTTTTGAATAGTTGATTTTAGGAGTTTGCTTTTTGCTGGTTCCTAAAATCAAAGACTTTGTACAGTATGACTTCACCTGAACTAGAAAAGTATTAAAATAGGCCAATATTCACATTCACTTGGCTCTGAGGATGGGGAAGTGGGTTGATTCAGATGGATGCGGTAAATTCTACCCAGTTAAAGGAGACTAATTTTAGGGTTCTTCTAATTTGCTTTTGTCAACTATTAACTTTACAAGTGAAACTGCTATTAACTCAATTTAAATTTTAAAGTTAATAGGAAGAACACTGAAATATTTACTGGTAATTGCTTAGAGCCACAAATCCGATCTTGTGGATTACAAAATGCATTTCCTCTTTCTGCTATAACTCATCACTGCATATGCTTTGTAGCTGTGCATATTCTGCCCACTTTGTCTTCACTGTAAGTTTAAAATACAATGTTTCCAAGGAAAAGCTTCAGTGGTGATAGTTTCTTAGCAACTCCTATTCTTACTCTTACTTTAAAATAGTCATTTTTTTTTCATGTATTTAATTTCCTACATTTCAGATTTAACATGTTATTTCCTTGTATGTTGATTACCAGATCATTAGAAGTTGCCTAATTGCTTGTGGGTATTACAGAAGTTCTGGCTAAATTACATTTAAAGGTTTTTTAAAGTGCTTTGAGCATATATATATATTTATGTTCAGTAACAAATCATTTAAAAACCATTCACAAGTTTTGGTTTAATTTTTTCATTTGTTTTACCCTCATAATAAAAGCTTCTTTGTTCTTGTATTTAACCCTTATTTATAAGCAGCTGAACATCATATTTAACTCTATATCTCAATGATGGGGAAATAGCTGCATTGATCTTGCATAAAACATTAATTCTCATACTCCAGGTGAGGATTATTAGTACAATCCCCTTCTTATTGTGTTTCAGTTGAATCTGCTATAAGGGGAAAGTTAAAATTCTTAAACATCCTTGTTATTTGGAGATTCTTTAACAGATCACAGCAGAGTTTGTTATGGTGTCTGCAAAGACTTGATAAAAGACGCTGAGAAAAGACGCTGAGAGAATTGGTCCATTTGTATTCTGTATTTCTATTAGTTGCCAAAAAAAATGGGGTTAAGATTAAATTGTTTCCATTCTCTTTCATATGGATCTATATCCCCATGTTTAACTGACACACTGGAGGCTCAGGTGTGTGCTGTAATGTATTATTAAAGAAGATATTAAAACGAAACTAGTCTAATTTCTTCTACATTTTAGTTTTATATTGCCTCTTCACATTTTTTTTTTCGTTTCTCAACTTAGAATTGTCTCTTGAGTGTAGAGCTCAGTACTTCTAAGGATAGCAGGAGACATCTTTGATTTCTCATTGTTTTTCCTGTATGTAGTTTTTCTATTTTGGATCTATAGAATATTACTGAAAATGAAAGGAAGAAGGTTGTTCAGAAACCTCGCTCTATTGAATAAGTATACTAAGTTGTTGAAAGAGGGAAGTAATTGGCTATTAATATAAAAATACTAAAAAATACTTAGGTCAGTTAATTGGATGGATGTCTTTTATGACACTCAAATTTGAGATAACACTTTTGCTTTTATATTAAAAATACTGTATAGCTAATTAGTCTCATCATAATTTAAACCCGAGATGCATGTTGCATGAATAAGGTAGAATTTACCAACATTATTGACACTACTGAATCTGAATTAATTTGTGCTAGATTTTCACTTTTGTAGGGGTTGTGGATTTGGTTTGGTTTTGGTCAGAGATACCTACTTTTTAGAGTGTATAGCAATGAAGATCAACACTAGGGGGTTGTGTTTACTGTGACTTTACGTTCTGAAATCTTTCAGGCTAGCCTAATTTTATCTGTTGTAAAAGTTTCAGGAAAATCTTAGGCACTTCCAATGTGTATATTTAATAAAACATCTATCTACTTGACCAAGAAAATAGATGTTTTATTAACAAAAGTTTTTCTTGTCATTATTAATTGTAGATTACCATATTAAACTAAAAATGAAATGGCTTCTATTTGAAGTATTCTTTAGATAAGCTATTTACTGAGTTAACATCTTTTGGGGGAGGGGTTTGTTTTTGAACAGCCATTCATTAGCTCCAATTTTGCACATAGTATGGCTCCAGATTTAAAATCTGCACATATATAGAGACAGACTTAAATCTGTCATTTATTTATATCCATATGGGCATATCTACAGTATGAAGTAATTATGTTAAAATCATTTTTTATGTATACAGCATCTTTTTCTGTATACGATAATAATAATGGCTTAGGTTTTTATGGACCAAATAGGTTCCTCATTTTATCACTATCACTATCTTGTAAAATTCAGAATGAGACTTCTGTTTTGAATTCTTATTAAAATTACTAGGAAGTAAGCCATTACAATATTTTCTCTATAACAGTGTAACAGTTGTTTTTCAAAATGAGGTCTATAGCCGGGGTGACCATACATCCTTGTTTACCAAAGACAGTCTTGGTTTAAATATTTAATGTTAAATATCAAATTAATAAGGTGTCTCATTATAAATCTTAATAGTATCTCCTGTTACTTGCACATGTCAGTTTATCAAACAGCTGAAGTGCTTTTTTAAAATGCAGATTTAAAAAAAAAAACCCCAGCTCTTCTTACTCATTAAGTGGAACATGTGATATTGGCAGAGGTTTGTCTTCTAAAAGCCTTGGATCTATTTTTATTTAAGTTTTTTTTTTTTTTTAAACTCCTATAGAGAGTTAAATATGATAAAATGAACTAGGTTCTGAAACTTTGAAATGCCTTCATTCACATTCATATAAACTTATATTGTTTGTACCGAGTCGTTCAGACTTTTGTCTTCTAATGATCTTTTCACCCAAAGGACTTAGGGAAGATGGCCAGTTGCGATTAGAGGTACTGCCTGCTAGTATAGAATACTTTTACTGAAGAAGGAAAGGAAATCGACATTGGCTGCAAGTTAGATGTACTCTGTGCTAATAGTATTGAAAACTTATGGCAAATCTTTCAATTTCAATACAGGATGCTTCTATATATTTGATCTGGATTTCTAAAATTTTCTTTTATAAACTCTTAATTTTGGAATACTTTTAGAGCTACCGAGAAATTGTAAAGGTAGTCCAAGAGAGTTCTCATGTCCCCTCATCCAATTTCCATTTACCCCTAATTTTCTAATCCTACATTACTGTGGCCATGCTTGTCAAATCTAAGAAACCAGCATTGGTATGTTACCATTAACTCATTTGTCTATTAATGTCCTTTTTCTGTTCCAAGATCCAATCTCTTTGGTGTCTTGTGGTCCATGATGGTTTCCCAATCTTCCCCTTGTTTTTCATGACCTTGACAGTTTTGAAGTATACGGAGGTATGTTGTAGAACGTCCCTTAGTTTGGATTCGTCTCATGTTTTCTCATGATTAAAGTAATAGGTTCTTGGAAAAAAAGACCACAGAGGCGAAGTGCCCTTCTCATCTCAAAGTATGTCCAGCCCTTACTCAAGGGAGGTGGGGTTCAGCTCTACCTCCTAGAAGGGAGAATATATATATATATTATTTGGAATTCTTCTACAAGGAAGATGTGTTTCTTCTCCCCATTTATTTATTCAATCGTTTATATCCATATGGGCTCATAATCTAATACTATGTCATTTATTTTGTTATTCACATTATTCCGGCTTTGGCGCTCTTTCAGATTGGCTCCTACATGCCTTTACCATGCCCCATCCTTTTTTGAGCATCTCCTTACTTTTTGTACCACAGGAAGCTTCAAGCTCATCTTGTATTTTCCCTGCCCTAGCCCTAGATTGAGCCATTTCTCCAAAGAGCCCTGATTCCTTTTATTGAATAATGGTATTTAGAAACCAAAATCTGGGCACTGAGTATGAGGTGGTTTTTTTAAATTATGAAATGTTGAACTTTTCTCCACCGTAAGCTAATATTTGAGGGTTGTGGGAAAAAGTATCTTAATCCCAGATCTTTAGAGGATGAGCTCTCCGAATGAGCTTTCTGCACATCATTACTGAAGCATTCTCTTTTAAGTCACCAACATATTTATTGAGAATAATAAATGTGAAGTTGCTTTATAAGCTGTAAAGCATTAAATAAAAGCAATTATATAAAAAATACACCTAAGGCCTCTTTAGAAATTAAAATGCATTTTAAGAGATAATGCCCATGTTTATGTAAATTTAGGCTATATGGTTAAGGGCTTGGTGTGTTTTATAAATAGTAACCTCTATAGAAAGATATAGGAGGGAGATGACTTATGGGTTGGAGAGGTCGACCTGTGCCTGGAAGGAGGGGAGTCGGCTGGGGGAGGAGTAGGAGTGAATAGGGAATCAAAACGAGGGTGGCTGAGTGAGCAAAAGCTCAGTCAAGTACGTAAGTTTCTTTGAGAGAAAGTGAGTGGGCCAACCAGAGTACAAGGCTTGTGAATGAGAGCCTTTGAGCTTTGGGATGAGAGTGGGGAGCGATCATTAGAATGGGACCAGATTGTGCAATGTTTGCACGCTGCAATAAATAGTTCAAATTACTCCCAACACTATGGGGACCCTTTCAGAGTTTAGGGGCAGGGGAGCGACATGATGTTAGGAAGTTAAATATTTACCGGTGAAATATTTTGTTGGTAGTTGGTACTGTTTTGATAGAGACCTTTTTACAAATTCTTGTACTTGTTTAGCAGTATACTATCCATGATTTAACTTGATTATTCAAGGTCATTATGTATGCAGATTTATAGGCAATAATTTTGCTCTGCTATAATGCAGTGATATGTTAGTACTCGAAGAGCTATATTGAGGGATGTTTGCCTCTGCACTAGATGGTCTGCGAGTACAGTGTCTTTACATGATATTTGTTGTCTTCTACTTCATTATGAAAGTAATACACGTTCATTATATATAGAAATTTAGAAAGCATGATAAAGTTGAATTTTAAAAAATAACCAGAACAGATATTTTTTAGTGATTTTTCTCTGTTTCTTTTATACACATGCATGTGCATATGTGCAAATACTATATTTAAGTTGATACATACTTTTTATGTAGTCATTGGTTGCATATTATGTTTTTATTCTTTGCCATTTCACTTAACATACATAAACAAGTGGGGTTTTTCTCATGTTATAAACTTTGTGTAAGTGAAATTTTTGTGGCTGTATAATGATCCATTGTATACATTTGCTGTAGTTTTTTTTTTTTAAACAATTCTGTTGGACATTTACGTTTTCTCTAATTTATGTAGAAGTCTATTTCCACAGTTAGAATTAAGCATCATAAACTTAAAGCTCTTGCTAGGAGATAATGAGATTTTGAAGAATGTATCATATTTTATTAAAATAGAACCGGAGTTGCAGGCTGATTGGCAGGTTATACTGGACCAGCAGTGTGTGAGTGTTGCCTAATCTGCATTTGAACGCTAGCACTTTTTCATGCATCTGGTAGCTTAAACATGTTGTATTTCTCTGATTTCTAGTGGAGTTTAAACATCGTATTTGTTAACCATTTGTAGTTCCTATTTTGTGAGTTGTCCATTGCCTATTTATTTGTTGGGGTCTTCTAACTATATTCAGTCTGCTAGCCACAGTAAACTTGGAAGAACTGAAACTTGCCAGGGGGTATCAAATTACTAGGGTTGTGAAACTCATGGTAATTTTACACAGTACGAAATTGTAGGCTGTGTCTGGAAATCTTAACTCGAAAGTGTAAAACCACACTTTGCATTTAAGACGTATTTATTATTCAAGGCTAATGAAATTTGCTTTTGATTTATTGATAGAAATAGAAAAAGTAATTTTTAAGTCAGTTCAGCAAGTTACAGTAACAAAATAGCCTTTCACACTCTAGATCTTGTTTCTGATCTGCATTTTGTTAGAGTAGTTCATGGATTTTCTTAGTGACAAAATAGACTGTATTTAAGCCTTGCTTTGAATAGCCAGGAATATTTCTGATAGGAACAGAGTTCCTTAAATAGGATAGGAGGTTGTAAAACATGAGAATTTAAAGCTGTAATTGAATGGCCCAGTGCGAAAAATGGCAATATCTAAATTCTGTTTTTTCCTAGCCGAGTGAACGTGGACGGATTACTTTACCTGTCTGAGCTAAGGTATCTTCTGTCACTTTATAAAATGCAGAAACTAGTACCTACCACAAAGACCATTCTAACTTAAGGAGTACATGGCACAATGAGTATCAGTATCTGCCCAGTCCTCGATGCCCAATAACTTTA